TAACCAAAATATTTGGAGTTCACAATAACAGATTAGGTAAAAAACTTTCACTTTTTTTAGAAAAGTACTTATAATATATTTATTTCCCACTTGTGTGGAAAGTGTTCTGCACTCGTAATGTAATAAATATATTATTTTAGACAAAATAAATTTTATAATAAACCATTCTGATAGACAACAAGTATATCTGAACTGCAATTTGCAATTTTATTGCTACACTCTCTATATTAATATATCCACTATATCTATCTATATTTATTATAGACCCATTCGTAAAGAAGCATCCATTATCTTTTTAAGTGTCTAAATATATTCTTTCCTTTTAAAAGGTATAGGCAATCTAGCAATCAAAACTTTTTGACATAGTATGGCCGTTATCGTTTTATGGGTTACCGTTATTTAGTTACCTCTAAAATCTCTGAGTACAAATAAACATTTTCAGTGATCTGTTTTATTTTCCTATTACGTGAGTTACATTTCCAAGACATAAGGGCCAGAAATAACAATAAATTTTGCAAAAATTAAAATACAGATAGCTGCAGTAATAAAATAAGCTACAAACTTAAAACGTACAATGTAGCAACATTTTATTGTCGCCATTTCAAAGAATACAATATCTAAGTTCATGTTTCCAACTTTCCACCGATTCCTTTTAGAAAGAACCTGACTATAAAAAATTAATTTCAAGCTAATAAATTTTACAATTTGGCCCATTATTATTACGAAATCAAATGTATTTTTTTGGATAATACTCAATATATGAGGGTATAATTTAAAGACAAATTTGGTATTAGATTCAAATGAAATATCCTACAATAAATGTACAACATAAAAACATATTCCATATTTAAATAATTATTGCATTTCACAAATAATTGATAAAACTGAATTAAAAACTATTTTAATAAATTTAATCAAATGAATGAATAAATAAGTACCAACAAAGTAATTTCATTTAAATTTTGAAATTCCTTAAATTTGTTTTTAAATATCAATCGTGGACCTGCCTTTGGAAACAAGTGTTTCTTGTTTCCTCATCCAATAAAGGAAAGAAAGTTTCATCTACTCCCTCATCTAAAAACAGAAATTAAAAAAAGCAGTTGAATAGATTTTGAGCATTTAAAATAAACAGTATACAACTATTTAATATACTGATACAATAAATTCATGTTACTTTCCTTGTAACTTTTCAAATAAAAATAAATAATCTATTTTAATGTATAAATTATTTCTAAATAAGTTTATCCAAATTAGTTTTAACTACAACATTTTATTTTTCACTTCAATTTAGAACTTTTTTACATAGCTGAGATAGCTAGCGAATTATGTCAAGTTATGTTTTATGTAAGTCCATTGTGGATAAGCCTTTAGGAATACGTTTATGTATTTCAAATTAGATACAAAACAAACGAATTATTTCCAAGTGAAAAATAAATTAATTTAATAACTTGTCACTTTTATTTCCTCAAAGAGGATTTACCATATTGTTATAACCTGCTTTTAGAAATGAAAATAAATACAAAGAATGAATCTTATTAAAAAAAAAAAAATAGATTAAAAGATTTGTAATTCATCCAATTAAAGGTTGGTTTATATAGGGGGCGAGTAATTTATTAGGGGCCTATACCTTTACTCAGAAATACATCTAGATTATGTTAGGTAGGTATTACTTGGGTTAATTTTCTAGTATTAATTTTTATTAATTAGAATTTAAAATATATCAAATAAATTTCTGTTTTTTAGAACTGAAATTGGAAAGTAATGTGGTGTATATAAAAATATATTTGTTCATTTACCAACAATAGTAGCATCAAAGGCGGCTCCAGGGGGGGCTATGGAGGCCATGGCCCCCTCCGAGATGAACATTCTTACGATTTATGGGCCTTTTATTCAAAAAAATATACTAAAAACGGAATGGCTGAAGGCAATGCCCCCCCCCCCCTCCGAAAATTCATCTTGAAGCCGCCCTTGAGGTGCATATTAAATAGTTTTACATGTATTTAGTTTACTATAATACAAGCGATTACAAATTTAATAGAAACAAGACATAAGTTATTTGAAATAAAGATTAAATGACTAGTAATTCAATAAATCAGTTAAATCTTTTTTTTAAAGAGAGCATTTTTGCATTTTGATGGTTAAAAAATATTAATTTTTATTAAAAATTTTTTGACAGTCATAACTCAGTGGTAAACGAGTTTTGATATAAATTATATAATACACATAGAATTAAGTTACAACGTAGAGGTAATAAATAATTTGATACATGCAAATTAAACTTACAACGAAAGTATAGGTTATAAAATAATAGGTTAAATAATATGTATTAATTACAACTTTTTGGTCCTAAGAAAATTTAGCCATTTTATTCGGTAAAAAGGAACACGACCTTTCCGCCATGTTGGTAAAAAATGAACAAAAAATTAAATTTGGATCTCATTCTGTATTATAATTGCAATATGTAGACAAAATAAGGTTACATTAATATGTTTTTATTTAAAATAACAATTATTTTGAAATATTTTTAATTTTTTTTTTTTTTCGTAATTTTTCATATAAATTTTAAAACCATTATTTTAAGAAAATGATAAGGCGCACTAATTTTTACAAACAAAATTAAATTTGTTTCGTTAGAGAATTTAGGTAGATTACACCAACTTTTTAGACAAAATGTAAGTTTACTATTAAGGTTTACCTAGTTGCCATTAGTGAAATATTTATGATGTAATGTCATTTTTTAAGAAGGAACTCTAAAATGTTTATACCTGTTGGTCTTCATTAGATATATAAATAATAATCTATAAAAACTAAATTATATCATACACAACAACTCTTAACAAAGTTTTTATATTCATTTGTAATTACCTAATAACATTTTTTTATAAAGTTATAGTACCTAACTACTGTAAAACGTATACTATGAGGTTGTATATATCCACCAAAACTCGCATTATAATATATAATAACGGTATAGTGTATTAGAATATGCAAGTTGTTAAGTTTTAAAAAACGTTGTTGCAACGTCGGTATAACCCTTATATAACTTTTTGTGTTACATGGGTAAGTAATGTTTTTTTATATTATTTTATATTTTTTTTTATATTAGGTATATTATTTTTATATTTGAATCGGTCATTTGAGAAACAGGTCATGACAGTTGTAGATCATTTTTCAAAAAATAAGAAAAAGTGAAAATCTCAAAACATAGTTAAAAAAAAGTTTTGTACACTTAGCGTTTAAAACTTGCTTTATTTTGGGTATAATACAATAATTATAATTTACCTTTAAATATTGTATTTTTGTAATAAAAACAAAATGGACAAAAATGTGACATGTGTCGTTTCACAAATGACCGATTCATTTATATTATTTTTATATAATCTTTTAATAATTTTTAATAATTTTTAATAATTTTTATATAATTTTTATATTATTTATATATTATTTTTATGTTATTTTTATATTATTTTTTTTTTTAATTATATTAGTTGTAATTTTGTATTTTATTAAAACTGCTCGTCCTAAATAACCTAATGTTTTTTTTATTCTATTTCGAGTATTATTTTTATATTAGGTATATTATTTTTATATTGTTTATATTATTTTTATATTTTTTATTTTCATATTATTTTTATATAATTTTTATATTATTTGAAACATTGTATTTTATTAGAACTGCTCATCCTAAATAACCTAATGTTTTTTTTATACTATTTCGAGTATTATTTTTATATTAGGTATATTATTTTTATATTGTTTATATTATTTTTATATTTTATTATTTTCATATTATATTATTTTCATATTACTTTTATATAATTTTTATATTATTTGAAACATTGTATTTTATTAAAACTGCTTATCCTAAATGACCTAATGTTTTTTTAATAATATTTAGAGTATTATTTTTATATTAGGTATATTATTTTTAAATCGCTTATATTATTTTCATATTATTTTTGTAATATTTTTATATTATTTGTAATATTGTATTTTGTTAAAACTGCTCGTCCTAAATAAGCTAATGTTTTTTTTTTATACTATTTTGAGTATTATTTTTACATTAGGTATATTACTTTTATATTGTTTATATTATTTTTATATTATATGATTTTTATATAATTTTTATATTATTTGAAACATTGTATTTTATTAAAACTGCTCATCCTAAATAGCCTAATGTTTTTTTAATACCATTTTGAGTATTATTTTTATATTAGGTATATTATTTTTAAATCGCTTATATTATTTTCATATTATTTTTATATTATTTGTAATATTGTATTTTATTAAAACTACTCGTCTTAAACAACCTAATGACTTCTTTTTTTGTGAGTGTTTTTGTTTATTTATCTAGAACGAATTTACAAGCATAATAATATTACACATTTTTTTGGTATATAAAAAATTATCATTATCTACGTTATCTAATTTTTTTAAATATCATCAATAAAAAATTTAATTAGGTATTTTTGGAAAGGACATTACCTACGAGCTTGCATTTAAAAGGCAGACAGACAAGACATTTAAAACTGGTTCCATATCCATATATTCTTTTAACAAAATCTCAGAAAGTTGCCGACGATAACTAAAAAAAATGCAGTGCCAATTTCAGGTAGTAAACGAGAAGAAGAATCTATAACTCAAAAGTGAACCAGTGTAAATTTAGTAAACGAGGACAACAAAGTCAAATTCAACTGGAGTTACCTAACTAACAAACATAACCACTGCGAAGATCGACCTAGTGCCGTACACTACTATGAATCTGTGTACTATTAACAAAGGTATAATATTTCTAAATATATTTGTCCAATATTTTGCTGGGTTTTTGGTAGACACGCCTTTCCCTCGCGCCTATTGGTCGGCTAGTCGTACGCGTGTTTGTGCGTTATGTGGATAATCGTAACGGTTAAAATCGCTTGCGTGCACCCTCGCGGGGAACCAAGGAAAGCGAGTGACGCCGGCTCAAAGTAGAAGCTAACGCGTTAGTAACTTGTGGACTGCAGGCACACTATCAAACATCATCGGACTGTTTCGCCGTGTAGACGTGTTGTATGTAACCTATCTCGTACTTTCGCGAGTTATATACATACCTATTAGTGTTTGGTGTTAAAAATTTATTTGTGAATTTTGTTAAATAACTCAAGTTTTCTATAAAATTATGGCAGTTCCTTTTAATATACCAGAAGATCACAACGAAGTGGAAGTTATTATTAATCAATTGCAGTATCTGTTGACTAAACTGCAAGCTGCGCTCAGAAGGTCTAGGAGAGGAAATCCTCAAAATCAACTTTCATCTCATGCCAGTACAACTAGAGGTTAGTAAAAAAAGTGTAAATATTTAGGAAGTCAAATAACTAAAAAAATACCTGTTGCGCTTGTTGGTGTTTTTACACCAGGAACTATAGTGAAACATATTTTTTTGATTTTTATTAGATTTAAAAAAAAATAATAAAAAACGTAACTCACAAAAAATATTTTTAGTTGTTCTTTTAGTTTCTATCACTTTATGGATAATTTTCAACCCAGAGCCCATAAAAGGTATGGAAGCTATTTTTTAAAATATAGAAGCTATTTTTGAAAATTGAATTAATAAAAATGTTTTGCCAATAATGATTAAATAGATAAAATGAAAATGGTTAACGAAGCGAAACATTTGCGAATTGTAGTTATTATTTGTTGATGTAATAATTACATATTGATACATATTTCAAATCACAAAGCTCATACCGATATACCTAGTTAGGTAGGTATTCTATAATAGTATCAGGTGAGCAACAGATAAATTTCGTAATATCTATCGGTACAGTGGCATAGTCTTAAGAGTGATTACGTTTTAAAGAAAATATATGTTGCGAAATGAACCTTTTACGAGTGGCCTTGTAAATTGCAACGTGTATGTGCAATCAATACGTATTAGCAGCAGCAGCAGCAGCAAATCAAACAGCTGTGTTTACTGCAACAATGTCGCTTACGCGTAAAAAGCCTCAGGCGAACCATTAATGCATAAGCAATAAAACGGGCAATGGCATGTTAATTTCCCAACTTATTTTTCTCGAGATCAACTTTTTACACACCCTGTAACAGACATAGTTGCTCGCTGGAAGACAAGACAAACTCGCGGTGATTGGCGCCAGTTGTGAAACCACTGAAAAGATTCAACACGTTAGTCGGGTCAACATAAATAAATAAATAAATTTCTAGTTATACCACCTTTGTGTATATATCTATATATACTTTGTGTTACGTTGCGGGTGAAACCTAACCTTGAACATTTTGTTATCTTTATAAAAACCACCGTCAATATTGCAAACAATTTTATTTGTTATGTTTATAAAAATCGTAATAATTTTATTCTGAATTTTAAGATTAGTTGAAAAATTGTTACCGAAATGTATCTATAGTTACTTATACTATTATATTTTGTAAACATAATAAATTATCTACCAATAAGAAATAAAGTGCTATCAACTTAGTCATAGTGCAATAAACTTACTGAATATACCTGTCTCTATACCTAGATAATATAAAAATATTATTTTTGAACAAAATTATTTAATAAGTAATTTTACAAAAGTGACATTTTATCATTTATTCTTTATAAAAACCACTATTAATTTTTGCAGTTTTTGAAAATTATATTTGTTAATTTTAAAATTTTTAAAAAATAATTTTATTTTGAATTTTAATATTAGCTTGAAAATTGTTACCAAAGTTACTTATTTATACTATTATTTTTAATAATAAATTATCTACTTATAAAAAATAAAGTGCTATCAACAATAAAGTCGCTGAATATACATACCTGTCCTTGATCAATATTTATACATATTTTTGTGAATTGTTATTTTTTTTTCGAATGTCTATATATAAATAATACCTATAACACCTAAAAGTATTATTATTAAATAAAATTATTTATTTTAAACAATTCTTGCAGCAAATTCTATTCAATGTTTTTAAAAATCATAATTGTTAATATAAAATTATAAAAAAATCATTTTATTTTAAATTTTCAGATTAGTTTTAAAATTATTACTGAAAAGATCAATATAGGTACTATTATAAATATGTTGTCTACATAATAAATTATATATACAAAATGCTATCAATACAATAAAGTCTCTCAATAATAAATAATAAATATTTACATATTTTTTTGTGTGAATTATTTTGTCTGGATTACCTAGATATAAATAATACATACATATAACATCTAAAAATATTTTTAAACAAAATCATTTAATAAGTTATATAAAAATTATATTTTTACTCATTTTATGAAATTATTGTGAATTTTTTAAATCCAAAATTTTAAAAAACGTGGGGTTTTACTTTAAATTTATAAATTAAGAAAAAAAAGGAAAATTAAATTTTGGAAATGTTAGAAAAAATGTGATTTAGTGTTTTTTGTTTTTTCTTAATAATTTAAACATTTTAAAAATAATTTTAAATCACAAAAAAAATTTAAATCTAGTAAAATATTTATTTTCTTATTTAATAAAGCTTCTACCACAATGATTCATTATTTTGTATATTCCTAAAATATAATATTACTAATATTAATATTTTATCCATTTATTGTTTTATGTTCTACTTATCTTTTTATCACAAAATTTTAGAAAACTAAAAATTAAATTTCTAACTTTTTAAATTACTAAAATTTAACAACCTGTTATCTATATTTTTTCAGGAAAAAATATATATTTTAGTTAAAAGTAAGATAACACTAGTGAAAATATTTATATAGATATATACCTATTCCAAAATAAAAAAAAAATCTTAGCTACCTTTCACAAAAAAAAATATTCCTGATAAAAATTCCTGGGTTAGTTAAAACTCCATTATATGAAAACGATTTAAATTTGTTCCTATTTTTTAATTTCTATTAACATTTTAAATTAATATTTTGCTTATTAAAATTTAAAAGTAGGTATATTACTCTTTATTATAAATATAACTATTTTTTATTTTCCCCGTATACAACTCCCTATTTTACAAAATTTGTTGCTTGATTTCCAAGTGATGCAAAAAAAATATCTTGGAAAAATTTGTTTTTGTGAAATGTAAAACTTTGTGGGACACTCTGTATACAGGGCCGCCAAGAGTCAGGTCGGGCCCCGGGACAATTTTTCCAGGTAGATCGGGCCCCACGACAAGTTTAAAAAAAAATTAGGCCGTCTCAATATCACATTTCTAAAAAAAAAGCAATCTTTAGTGAAATCTCTAAGAAAAAATATTTATATGTGAAGTAAAATTGTATTTTTTATAACATTATTTTTTAAATATTAAAAAAATTAAATATTCTAAAGTATTTTATTTTAAAAAATACCTTTCGAGATAAATTTACAACCAAACATTATCTTTTTGTTGGCAAATAACAAAGAAATGACCTTGGATTTGTGTATAGAGAACAACATCAAAATCTTTATACCCAGGTACCCAAATCTACCCACTCGATTATCTAGTGACGAGATTACGAACCACTATCCTTATCTTTTCGAACAAACAAATTATTTTAAATATTTCTATCAGTTAACCTATTTACACTTGACAGGAAATTGATGACATTATTCCTAATCTAAATAAAAGTAGTTCACAATAATTAAAATGCATCTGAGGCGTACATACGTAGTTTTAAGGTTAGTAAAACGATAAAAACACGAGGAAATACGTAAAACGTTTTATCTAGTCTGACGAAAGAAATATTTATTTTGAGATTCCGTATTATCTTTGGAGACATACTGTCTCCTGTACTTATAAAACCACGATAATGTTATCTTAATTCAATTAAAATTACAAACAATTCTTCAGATATGAGAGTTTGATTGAAACTCTTGATGGGAAATAAAACAAAATAAAAAAAACCAATCGTTTGCTGGAGAATGAAATATTTATTCTTAGAAGATTATTTGAAATTCCGTATTATTTTTATACATATAAAACCACGATAATTTTATTATGATTCATTTTGATTAAAAATATAACAAAATAAAAATACAAATCGATAAACTATTTGTTTATTCTTTTCCAGTTCGAACGAACAGTTCGACTAGATCTCGGGTAAGAGAAGGGTCATCAGTCTCTTCTTCAGCCTCTTCGTCTTCATCATCATCAACAACGACACCAACTACGACAACAGCCTCTTCCGTTCCATCTGCAAATTTCCCTGATATCCTCAACAATTTGGCATGGTTGGCGGCAATAAGTCAGGAATCTATCGATTCCAGCTCTCAACAAACGACACACATCAGACCGTCGAGGAGTCGAACACCATCAGAATCATCATGTTGTGAAGAAAGCAAAATATCCGAGGCCGCTTTGAGTCATGGAAATGTGCAAGATTGGAACCAGGTTGGTTGCATTCTACGCAAGATTACTACAGATCCGAATCTGATAATACCCGAGGTGGGTGTGTGTCGTGTCTTTTGTTTTTAGGCCGTCGCACCCCTCCTATTGCATGCTATTCCACGATTTTTTATGTTAGACCTGGCAGCATCCAACTAATATCGTAGAAATCATACAACTTGAACACATTACCAGAAATCATATCTGATTTGAATTAATGCTTACCTATACTAATCAACAATGCACTTTAAGCACTTTTACATTTATTTCATGGTCAGATGCACTGGTACAATTTTCTTCAAATACTTTTATCTATATCAATCTTATTATCGTCGTTAACCAAACAGGCGTATCTCAAAATTACAAGATCTGAGAACTTCAATCTGGATTTTTTAACTTTAAAAGTTGCTTAAAAAATGCTAATAACATAAAATGTGTCAATGCCAATATGTAACGTATATAAATTCCAAAAACGCCTTTTGATGGACCTAACTCAAATCTAGGAATTTTTGAGATACGCCCCTTCATCATGTTAACGACGATATAACGTAAAATGTATTTTTAACTCATATTGCAAGATATTTAATTTTTTTTAAACAGAAATGCTTTTTTTTTAATGTTACACTTTATTGCTTGGAATGTTAGGAAATAACTATCATATTCTTTTGGTGTTGGATCTTATTATTGTTGATTATCTAGTAGTTTTTACTAAAAATCGTTATGAATTTAAAGCTTAAAAACAGAATATTATTGTCAGTTCTAGTAATGGTAATGACAATTTCAGCTAAAAGCTATTAAATCATTATTTAAATAGACAAACATTGCATTAAAGTATCTACTTTTCTATTATTATAATAGCTGTAAGACAATAATCATAATCTTACAATATCACTAATATTCGTAATAATAAATAAGTAGAGCTAAAATCAATATTGAAATAAATAATTGATTGTTACTGAAAAATCCAATACATTTCACAGTAATTTTTATACAAATACAGGCAGTCGAAAATAAATATTTTAACGAATATTTAACCGCGAGGTAGTTCATACAATAGCTAAAGAGTGAATAATAATTCCGTGTAGATACTCCAACTAGTATAGGCAACCAGTTCTGCTGCAATGCTCATTGCATACCTACAGGTTAGTTTGGTTAGCTAAAAGAGATTGGGGACCGCGAACAGCTTGCTTTATTAATTTTCAATGTGTGGACTTTTCTCGAGGTAAATCTCGCGTTGCTATTGCAAAATTACCTACTGCTCTTTAGTTCTTTTTATTTATTGCGTTTTACTTTGCAGTAAGGACACTATTTGCTACATTGCAACTATTAATGTCACTTCTACTTGTTTATAATACCCTATGCATAGTGACCTTGTAATATACAGCTTTAAAGATAATTATAATGTAATTATATTTATTCCATTGTTCATATTAGACGTTCATGGTTTTCCTTTGTTTGGATTCGATATTACCTAATAATACTTTCTATAATTTTCGCTTTTTGTGTGATCTAATTTTACTACCTTGCATCTTAACTTTTACCACTACTTAATTAATTAACTATTGATATATATACAAAGTAATTGGATTTTTCTTAGTAACATTCAAAAAATATAATTTAATCGATTTTTAAATAACTTTAAAATCATTACATTACTTCAAAAGTTTGACGAATAAACCAAAAATTATTTTAGGTTTAACAATTTTTTAAATTTTACAGAAAAAATGTGTTTATTGTTTCATTATTAAATAATAGAGCTAGAGCTTTTAATATATTTTATTAGAGCTTTTTAAATTCGTATAATATCGGAAAATCTTTGAAACACTTAAAAATAAAAACGAAATAATATAATTTTTTTAAATAATTCAATTATGGCTATATTTATACTCCCTTATTATTAGTATTATGATTAAGCATTAAACTGGACAAAATATTCAAAATGGGTATTTATACTCGTTTTATATTTAGTATTAATGCTTCTTTTTTAATAATCTTTTTCCTAATAAGATATAATTCTGCAGTCAACAAAATGTTGTTTTCTGAAGAAATGTGTAAGAGGCTAGTTGTGTTCTTAGAATATTTTTTAAGATATTTGAATTTTAAACGTATCTTTATTAATATTGTTACTAGTTAATTTTATTTAAAAATATTAATATTCAAAAATAGGTTTAATTAAGGACATTTTAACGCATATATGACTCAAATTTATAACAGATAAAAAGAAGAAGAAATTTAGAGACAAATCAGTCAGAAAAGAGGCCTTTGATTCCTCGTGGTGGCATGTCATTTGTCAACTTCATACTCGATAAATACTGCTGATACACAAAAATTGTATACAGCGCATGAATTGTACCGAAATATTATCCTGTTTGAGCTTGTTGGAACAAACCTATAAACACCATCTGACAACATAATCATACGTGTATTATCAATTGTTATTATCCGTTGCTTATTAAAAACAAAGGCCAAATACGTCATTGATTCATTTGATAGAAAAGAAGAAATTTAAGATTTAACATAAAAGTTAAATCTGTCAATTATTAAGCATATTAAGCATAAATATTAAATCGAGTATAAATGTCTCCATTACATTGTGAAGGTTCAACTTAATCTTTAATCATAATACTAATGCAAATACTAATAATAAGGGTCTATAAATAGACCCTAAACCTTTATTTTGATTCATTATTAGCAAATTAAACAAATTTTTTGTTCATCCGCCAAGAAAGCGTATTTGACTATAATTTTTTTCTCATCCATTTTCTATTATTTTTTTTACCATTCTTCTGGTAATTATTTATAATGAAAAAATAATTTTTTGGGACACGAATCACATTTTTTTTGCATATTTCGACAAATCATCTACCACTATATGTTTGGCCTTTTAATATAACTAATTTATAATTTTAATATTTATGAAATATTTAAAAATAACAGTTACTTTTTAGAATTTCATTGATTTTACAGTTTTTAATGTTTCGACCAATTGTGAGGGCATGATGGACAAATCGTCGTCAATATCACGAAGTGAGGTAATTCGATTTTCACAACTTTACAAGAGAACGTTTTAAAGTTTTTTTATAAAGTTACGTCTCTTCGTAACATTATTAAATACACACGATTAGATACGTGGTATTTTAATAAATGTAATGACTTGAGATACGCAATTTCGCGAAATCTCAATTTTCAATTTTTTGAGTTACGTCACTTCGTGATATTGACGACAAAATATGCTCTTATATTTTTCAAAATAAAAGATAAAGTGGTCATTAAATGTTCGAACAATATGTTTTGCACAATTATAAATATAATGTTTGGGAGGCTTTGGAATTTTTGACGTTTCAAGTTGTTCAAAGTGTGTCTATACATATATTTGAAACAGTTTTTAGCAATATTTTTTTTTTTCGGTGCTTCTGAGGCAAAGGCAGCACTTACCGGACCATTATTATGTATTTATCTAAATTCGCCTAATGAAAGTTAATACAAAATAAAAAATATACACCGTAGCCAAAATAATAGATTTATTTTCCCGTATTTTATTAAAAACCGCAAATAAATTCATAAATTCGTAAAAGAATGCGCTTTTAAGATTAAGACATTAAATATTTATTGATTTATTTTATCCAAACATTTAATGCCCAGTTAATCATTGAATAAAATATTTTCCAGCCTGATATTTACATATTTGCTGTTCCGGTAAAACAATGACACAAGTGCAAAATTGTGACATTTATATTTTAACATGTCATTAGTTTCCAAGTTAGTCTCTCTATACGGTATAACAACGGCGTAATTTTATATCTACTCGCGTCTGTTAGATGGTAGTTGCGTCAGTTTTCAAATATAAATGTTTGTTCCTCCACTTTTGAAAAACAATGACATATGAATCAGTTGTATCTGCAAATTTAAGGGAGACATTACTTTCTCCATGGTTAAATGTCGTATATGCTATTTATGTGCCAAAATTTGGAAGTACCTAATAATATTCGTTTTTAGGCTCTCCTGAAAAATTTATAATTTTGTATTTGCGTCATTGTTTTACTGGAACAGCGAAGTCGAAACATCAGGAACTATTAAATTTGTAATTTTGCATTTGCGTCAGTGTTTTACCGGAACAGCGATATCGTCGAAACATCAGCAACTGTTAAATCTACACGTCGCATGCAATAAACACTTTTTACATGAGTTGCATACAATATTTTTTCTACGTTCATGCAAAAACAAAAAATTGTTTTATTTATTAAATGACTGAAAATAATATAAAATATGCAATTGTTTTTAAAACGTAATACAATCTCACAGAAAATGAAAATGGACTATATATTTGGTGTCGATTTGAATATTTATGTTCGTCATGATCATAAAACGCTGTAGTAAAATGACAGATGAGTGCAATACAATTTTTATTGCACTAGTGCAATAAAGAACCAGATTTTTCACTAAATATAGTTCAATAAAGTTTTGTTTTTTGCATGAACGTAGAAAAAATATTTTTATCGTATTTATAATTTTTCGCTCATGACGTTATTATGAAATAAACAATTGATCCAACACTAAGAAATTTGATTTTCAATTATTAAAAATATATTGACTTTTTAATCATAACCAATCATCAAATGTATGACATTTTTAAATGAATTTTTAATAAAATAAATACATTTGATGTGGATAAAGTAATCTAATATAATTTTTGAGAAGGAGATTAACGTTTTGTTTTTTTTTTTGTTGTTTTAGGAGACTGACAATGAGGTCGAAGACGAAGAATCATCAGCAAGGACGAAAAACTACTCAAGAGAGGGGATCCTATCAAAAATTGTGCCAGGACCAGTGTCTGCCCCCCTATGGACTGCTATGATCTGTTTTGTAGGTTGGCATATATTTCGAGCACGGTAACTGCTCTGCCGCTACATTACTTGTACTTTATCCAAAGCAAAAGTGATCGTTAATCGATAGATTTAAATAAAAAATGTAGAAATATGCTACATATATTATGTTTGCTTTATTACTGTTTTTATTTGATATACTTTCGGTGTGTTTTTATTTCATATATGCTATTGTACATATTATATTCACGTTGTGAGTGTTCTAGATTTAAGAAATATATCATTCATTTTTTACCTTATGAAGGTGTACGTAGGTCATTTGTGCACAAGTTTGTTCCAAAGAGAGGAAAACAAATCAAAGCATTGATCTCATCTTGTAGGGCCACGTTTTGGTCTGCTCTCAGGAATTTGTACGATTAGATTATTCTATTTTTGAGTTTTTAAATCGATAACTTTGGTAGTTTTTATGTTTTTGTAAATGGATTTGTATATAAAATTAAAGTTGGATTCAGAATAGCCAAAGATTGAATCGTGCCAAACGGCCAAGAGCAAGAGCAGAAGCAAAGCCAATATGCATTTTGCAGGTGGGCGCGTCGGCTTTCGCTAGAGTCTGACTCTGTTTGTTTTAGTATGTTTAAGTGGATGGAGCAGCAAACGTTCAATTTGCAGCTCTAAAGGTTTTCAAATGATCTCCGTAGTTAGAATAGCGCGGTGCGGCGGAAGCTGGATGTGTGCCGCAAAGTGCCGATCAAGCCCGCACCTGAGATCTGTAAATAAACAAAAACAGCTCAAGTCGTGACAATTTTTTTTACTCATTGTGATTCATTCATTCATCGCTTTTTTTATCATCATTTTCTAATTAGGTACATAAATTATCATTTATATTTTGATCAGATTGATGTGTGGAACGACTTGCCTGGCTGGCTACATGCATGTTACATAGCTTTCTTTAATTTTCTTACATACGATCTAGGATTATTTTAAATATAAATATGCTGATATTTTTAAAGAAATTAAAGCAATTTAATTAAGATAAGAATTATTAGGTTAAGCAGTAGTTTTTAATAAGCTGCGCTGTAGATGGCTCTTCAAAGCGTCACTGTGATTATGCCGAAGAGGCAGTTAAGTATGTATTTAGCGCTCCAAAAGCTTACGGAGCGCTTTTACATCAACTCCTGTTTCCACTGATCTCCGAAATGCATTTTATGTTTGTTTGCAGTTATCCCTAGTCAATATAGTCGTTGTGTTTTTAGGGTTGGCTAGGATCATTTTTATTTTTTCTCATATTTTATTGTAGTATGTGTGTTATTTGTTTACTGTTTACTGATTTTATTTAACAAATCAGTGGCGATTCATTGTGCAAATTAAGTCGGGGGCTCTTGCGTTATTTTTTATTAATTTTTTAGCCAGCATCCTGAAATCGAATATTTAATTTTAACAAAATTTGTTTTAGCATCAATTTAACAGCTCCAAAAAAATTAAAGATAATTTAGGGCCCCCTTAAAGAGTTGCAACTGTTTAAAAACCATATAGATTATAATATACCATTGCCATATAATATAATTAAATGTATTCACTGTCAAATCAGTTAGTCAGTATTGTTCATATAATTACAACCTCCATCAATTTAGACAAGATTAGAATTTTTGGTTTGTGTAAATTCCTATATAAATATATTTTGCTCTTTTACAGAATCCAACAGACTACAAAAATTTTGTCAATTAATAACACCTGTTCACTTATTTTAAATTATATATAATTAAGATATTATTTGGTTTATAAGAAATTTTCTTCTTAATTTCTTTAAAAATGTATATTTTTAATTTTCTATTATACATATAAACTTGAATTTTAAGGCAAAATAAAGAAATTAATATGACAATTCATATATCCATAGCATTAAGAATTTAAAAACTGGAACCGTCTGTGATTGACCTAAATACCTATTTGATTTTAATAATATTTATTTTGTTAATAAAAAAAGTTGAAAATGTCAAAAAAAAAATATTTTCTTAATCAATTTAATGTAAATATTAATGATATTTATTGTCTGTCTATCTATCTATCTATCTTTGATTTCTAAGATATTTAAAACAGGTTAAATATTGTTGGGTTAAGTAAAAGGAAATTGCTACACTTTCGGAGAGCCAAATTTGTACGAACGATTCTGATACCAAAAACTACGAATGTACTCCACATTTTTTAGGCGTCATTTGTAAAACATTTTAAGAAATAAAAATATATTTATTTCGTTAATAAATAAAGAAAAATTAATAGAATTAATAAATAGGATGTGTTATTGTTTATAGTAAGTACGTTCGTAGGTTTTGCTGATCTATAGCCGTGTTGTACCGAATTTCGCATTTTGATGTATTTAACCCTGTCTGGACCAAACAGGCTACCGAGGCCAGTGATAAGAAGCTCTCGAGTGACCAATCCAATTTAAGAATTGCTTGTGTAAAATTATATTGCCTAATGCTGTAGAAAAAGCAATTGAGATATTTTTTTGCTATTTGAAAAGAGAATTTACAATCACTTGAAAAGGTTCGTTTGTCCATAATTGATGGTTAATGAAAATTATTTATTTTCAGATATAAATGTCATAAGTTTTATACATGTTTATAAACATATACCTATATTAATTATATATTTTTGTGATGTATGGGAGAATGTTGAGCGTTAGTCAGTGGCGGCTTCTGGCCTAAAAACAAATCTATTCCAAAATATATTAAACAAATGTTACTTAGTCATTAATAATATTTAATGTTTTTTAAAAAAAATCCCACCATGAAACCGCCGCTGAGCACTGCTGTGAAAATAAACAGCCAACTGCAATGCCATACACACATCTACTACCCATGGTCTTTCACTTGTAACTTTTTCACTTTTATATAGTTGATTTGAAATAAATGTAAACATGCCGAAAGCAAAACTATTTTTATTTCCCTTTCCTTTAAAATTATTTACGAAAAACCATATTAGTTCTACCAAATTTCGTTTTTTTTTAAAATATTAATAAATGATTTTAATTTAATTTTATACTCTTAAATGTATATTTTCTATATAGTATTTTAATAGAATAGAGATATTCATAATAAAATTATTTTACTCGTAAAAATATCCGTTTTGCTGTCAAATATTTGTAATTTATGAAAAACTATTTTAGCACAGATTCAGTTTTATTTTTAAAAAATTGAAAACTATTGATACCTACTAAATTTTAAACCTTTATCGTGTAAATAAAATGTTCAGCATTACTTTGACTTCTTTTGAAAAGTATTAAAAAACTATACTTTTGTGGGGTTAATTTATAGATGAAATATTAAAAGTTGGGTCAAAGTACTTTAATAAAATTATATGCAATAAAATATAAACAAATTTGCTTCAAATGGTTCTTTACAACTTTTATAGTCTTGTGTTAATATGTTTCAGATGTTAAAATGAAAACAAAATATATTTATAGAAATATCACGATTTCAAACAAACAACTTAACTTTTGAGTTATGTTAAAACTTATTTAACCTTATCATCATTATTTTAAAAAAGTAATTTTTTACTGTTACTACAGATTCATATAAAAAACTAATTAATTTAATGTGTAACTATACAAATGTAGGGCCACTTCCAAAATAGTACACTGTGAAAAAGGTTCTCTTGAAAATAACAAATTTGATAAACGTTATGTTTCAATAGAGCGCCAACAAAGGGTAGATGTTTATTTAAAATATCAAACATCAGTTTAATTGATCCAAACATGTTAGAAAGTTATATTTATTTGTTTCGTTCAAACAAATAATATTTTCTTCAAACTACAAATTGGTGTTTTTATTTTGTAGTCACCATAACCAATAGAATAAACTAAATATTTGCATGAAAAGAAATAAATTGTTTAAATTAACAAAATCTTTTTTAAGTTTAAATTTTAATTTACTTTAGTTTTAAATTAAACAATAAATTTGGTTGGAATCAACAAATATTTTTTAGTTCCTCTGCCGTCTTTGTGCAGGCAAAAAAATGCCGCCACTATATTTTAAAAATGCTAAAGTTACGAAACAAAAATATTTTAATAAATACTCATCAGTATAATATTATTTAACAAACAAAATATAAACCTTAACATTTAATAATAAGCAAAAATTTCAATTGTTTTGTTCGTTTACTAAACATGAAATATTGAAGTCTTTTTTGTAACGTTTTTTTATAGAGACTTTTCTAGATATATTTTTAAAACGGTAATAAAATATTCCGTAAATGTTTATATCTTAACATCATATTCATTAACATCCCTCGCATAAATATACGACTGAAGTTTCATGTACGCAGCAATAATAAGCGTGTTTAGTTGAGGAAGATATTAGTACTGAATGCCAACAAAAGAACCATACTGTCAACTGTCAATGGGTCCTATGATTGAACGTTTACGTTATCCGTAACGTACATGTTAGGCTCAGTTTTAACAGTAATTAGGCAAGTTCGTATGATGAAAAACTGTTTCCAACACATTACTGTTATTTTCCGCCTGTTATGTTCTAATTTAACAGTTTTCCATCATACAAACTTGCTTCGTTACTGTTAAAATTCGACCTAACATGTACGTTATGGATAACATAAACGTTCAATCATAGGACCCAATGGATCCTATGATTGAACGTTTACGTTATCCGTTACGTACATGTTAGGCCGAGTTTTAACAGTAATGAGGCAAGTTCATATGATGGAAAACTTTTTCCAATATTTTACTGTTATTTTCCGCCTGTTATGTTCTAATTTAACAGTTTTCCATCATACGAACTTGCCTTGTTAATGTTAAAACTTGACCTAACATGTACATTACGGATAACATAAACGTTCAATCATAGGACCCATTAATGTCCATAAGAATAACACAGTGGTCATTGTAATTATTAAAGCATAATTTTGAAAATGAAAGCAATTTATTTAACATATTAGAGCATATGGATGGTAGGGTAATAAAGTTTATATGTTTCTCTATTTATTTCATAATTTTTTTTTAAGGAAATATTTATTTGACCTCGATTTGTAGAATTTTAACCCAGCCTTCTCAAACCCTGGTTTTTGAAATTGATATAATTTAATTAATTGACACATTCAGAGCATATAAAAGGTAAGTTGATAACATTCACATATAATTACAGGAAAAGAATTATTTTTCCGTGATTTGAGAAATATTAACCAAATTTATTTAAAGGGCAACTTTTGAAATGTATTTTATGTCCCAGAAGCCAAGTGATTTGTCACAACATGGCTACCTTATTTTATTATGCCCATTACAATTTTTACGCAATTGAGAAGGCCCTGAAGAAGTTCATGGGTTGCAATTTATAGTGTTTTTTGTATGGCCATAATCCGTATGAATGAGATCCTAATTTAAACATTTTACCAACATTTTATATTGACAAATTCATTTCGATTCTTTTTTATTACTGAAAAAGCATTGTCAAATAATTAAAGTTTAATAGATTAAATTATTATTTATTACTACACAAATATTTGATAATTTTTATTATTATATAATAAAACTACTTAAATATTTTCTTCAAGAGGATCAAAATATGCTATTGATTCCATAGCCACAACAATATAATTCACATTCTACTTCCTAATAACATAATAACTCTGAAAACTTCTATCGAGGGCCACAATGCAGAACCTCGTAACTAATATTTTATGATAATTTCGTTTAAAACATTTCGTTTCATCTAGTACTGTATAGAGGAAGTATTACAATTTTTGAACAAAACATGGATAAATATTAATTCTATTATAGAGTGTTGTTCTACACGTATAAAAATTTTTTCTACTAAAAAATGTTGATTTTGCGGCTTAGGAGGCCCTGCCTTGTGGCCGTCGATATATGTCTCACCTGCTTTTTTCTGGACGGACCCAGGCATTGATTCATCTTGTAAATATTAAATTATTTTCTCTCAAAATCAGGAATAAGGTTAAGTTTCTCAAATTGCTGAAATAGAATGTTTTCTGAAAATAAATATGAAATCGATAGAATTACATGTAAATGTGAATGTGTCAATTATTTAAATTATATCCACATCCACTTCAAAAACAAGATTTGAGTAGACTGGTTTAAAACAATTATACATCGTTAATTTTTATAACTCCCAATAATATAACATACAGGTCAGTAGGTACAGTAATGTGTACAAGTTACACATTTTTAAGATCACTGACTATTTTTAGTCTTTACACCGCAGGCGGCCTAACTGTCTAGGAGGGCTCTGTCTTGCATTCATAGATGGAGCCACCAATGATCGCTTGCTACTTACGTAACGTCTGGTAAATGTATTATGAGCAGTCTTGGTTTGATAATATTCAGTATTTCATTCAAATTTCTCTCTTTTATATTTAATATTAATTTATTTTTTCTGTAGAAGACTTTTTTTTATTGTATTATATATTACAAAGGCCTCCATGATTGCTGCCACCTTTTGATAGTCCGTTTTCTCTGTTCTCTTGTGTTGCATTCGACGGGTATTTTTGGAATCGTGCTTAAGAGGAAACCGGACCTCTCGCGAAAGCAAAAATGTTTTCCTTCGTAATCTTATGTGTCCGGAGAATCTTTAGAGCTTTAAATTTGTGCAACGACGAGGCAGCACTCTACGGAGACGTTTAAGAAAAAAGGTGGGAAATCATCTTATTTAAAAACTACTAGATATTTATTAAAACAAAAGGCAGCAAATGTTCATAGATTCAATAGAGAATGGCGCGGAAATGTTTTTTTTTATTTTTTAAAATAAATACTTTTCGAAGGTCTACAAAAACTCAAGGTTTCTCTACCCTAAGTTTTGTTATTGTTGGTAATTGCTGAAAATTTCACAAAAATCGGACTAAAAATAAAGGCTCAGAATGAATTACAAATTTTCGAGGTGTTCGGTTTGCTCTTAATAGCATCTATATTTATTTATGGCTTCGTGCATAGTATTTACTGGCCCTTGGAACATCTACATTGGGCATAATTTTTGCAAGCGCCGTCATTGACTTTTCTGTTGTTTCTGCAGACTTTTTTGTGTCATCGGCTTCAACTCCTAAGGTTATCTCACCTTGTGTTCGGTATAGGCATTGTTTCTTTTTCCCAGCGCCACTTTAGGAACAGCACTGTTAATTAGAACCCAACAGTGAATGGTCGAGTGGGGAATCCTACCAAGGCATCAGACTTCATTTTAAATAAATAAATTAAATAAAAAAACCCGGCCAACAAAATGTGTTCTATCTAGCCAGACAGGTATTTAAGAGAATCTTTAAGAATTCTTTTTTACCCCATAAACCTATCAGATCCACCTAAAGTGCTTTGGTAAGTTTTGATAAATTTAGATGTGCCTTTCAGAATTAGCCACTCGTAGATTAAGTGACGAGCTATCAGTGGTAGGTAATTAGTTATTTCGAGAGAAGTTGTTCTGAATGTCAGTTGTCAGAGTAATCTTTTCTAGTATAGAAAAAATAGTAACAGTTGCCACCAAACTTTGGATAAATTTTACAAAAATTTTATTTTGTCAAAATGTCACTTTCTTGATGAACTAAATTAAACACCCTATATTTCTGAAATTTGGCCTTCCACAGCTTCATGTTCTATCAAATTTGTCAATTAACGAGAGCTCTCAGCTGAAAAGCGTTGTCGGACGAATAATTCAACACCCTGTATAACCGATTTTGGTCAAAAGTTTAAATTACCTGTTTCTCCAGCATTACGAAATAAAATACACCCTCTAATATTGTAAAATGTGATAAAATTCTCTCCATCCCAAAAAGGTTATCTCATCAATAAAAACATCTAGTATAAGAGTATATCAATTTTAACATAAGGGACCACCACAATTTAAAATTGAAGCGAAAAAGCCACAAGTTGTTAGGATATTGGATTTATTTTTCAATATAGTAGGGCATGCAAGCGACATTATTAGATTTGGGTAAATTGAACTCTGTTGGAAAACCCACACCTGACGATTCCAATGAAA